GGTGGCATCAATGGGTCCATCAAGGGGTGGCACCGCCAAGGGGTGACATCACCAAGGGGTGACATCAATGGGTCCATCAAGGGGTGGCACCGCCAAGGGGTGGCATCAATGGATCCACCAAGGGGTGGCACCCACCAAGGGGTGGCATCACCAAGGGGTGGCATCACCAAGGGGTGGCATCACCAAGGGGTGGCATCAATGGATCCATCAAGGGGTGGCATCAATGGGTCCACCAAGGGGTGGCACCACCAAGGGGTGGCATCACCAAGGGGTGGCATCACCAAGGGGTGGCATCACCAAGGGGTGACATCAATGGATCCACCAAAGGGTGGCATCAATGGGTCCACCAAGGGGTGGCACCACCAAGGGGTGGCATCACCAAGGGGTGGCATCACCAAGGGGTGGCATCACCAAGGGGTGACATCAATGGATCCACCAAAGGGTGGCATCAATGGGTCCACCAAGGGGTGGCACCACCAAGGGGTGGCATCACCAAGGGGTGGCATCACCAAGGGGTGGCATCACCAAGGGGTGACATCAATGGATCCACCAAAGGGTGGCATCAATGGGTCCACCAAGGGGTGGCACCACCAAGGGGTGGCATCACCAAGAGGTGGCATCCATCAAGGGGTGGCACCGCCAAGGGGTGGCATCTGCCAAGGGGTGACATCCACCAAGGGGTGGCATCAATGGGTCCATCAAGGGGTGGCACCGCCAAGGGGTGACATCACCAAGGGGTGACATCAATGGGTCCATCAAGGGGTGGCACCGCCAAGGGGTGACATCACCAAGGGGTGACATCAATGGGTCCATCAAGGGGTGGCACCGCCAAGGGGTGGCATCTGCCAAGGGGTGACATCCACCAAGGGGTGGCATCAATGGGTCCATCAAGGGGTGGCACCGCCAAGGGGTGACATCACCAAGGGGTGACATCAATGGGTCCATCAAGGGGTGGCACCGCCAAGGGGTGGCATCAATGGATCCACCAAGGGGTGGCACCCACCAAGGGGTGGCATCACCAAGGGGTGGCATCGAGTGGGGCCACCAAGGGGTGGCATCAATGGGTCCATCAAGGGGTGGCATTGAGTGGGGCCACCAAGGTGTGGTGGCAATGGATCCATCAAGGGGTGGCATCCACCAAGGGGTGGCATCGCCAAGGGGTGGCATCAATGGATCCACCAAGGGATGGCATTGAGTGAGGCCACCAAGGGGTGACATCGAGTAGGGGCATCAAGGGGTGGCATCAATGGATCCATCAAGGGGTGGCATCTAGTGGTGACATCAAGTGGGGGCACCAAAGAGGTGGCATCAATGGATCCATGGGGGGTGGCACCTAGTGGGGCCACCAAGGGGTGACATTGAGTGGGGCCACCAAGGGGTGGCATTGAGCAGGGGCATCAAGAGGTGGTATCAATGGGTCCACCAAGGGGTGGCATCAAGTGAGGCCACCAAGGGGTGGCATCAAGTGGTGACATCAACTGGGGGCACCAAAGAGGTGGCATCAATGGGTCCACCAAGGGGTGGCATCTAGTGGGGCCACCAAGAGGTGGCATCAAGAGGTGGCATTAATGGGTCCACCAGGAGGTGACATCAATGGGGGGCCACCAAGGGGTGACATTGAGTGGGGCCACCAAGGGGTGACATCGAGTAGGGGCATCAAAGAGGTGGCATTAAGTGGTATCCACCAAGGGTGGCATTGATTGTTGTCTACCAAGGGGGTGGCATCAAGAGGTGACATCAAGTGGGGGCACCAAAGAGGTGGTATCAATGGGTCCACCAAGGGGTGGCACCTAGTAGGGCCACCAAGGGGTGCCATTGAGCGGGTGGCATCAAAGAGGTGGCATCAATGGGTCCACCAATGGGTGACATCAAGTAGGGGCACCAAAGAGGTGGCATCAATGGGTCCACCAAGGGGTGGCATCTAGTAGGGCCACCAAGGGGGTGCCATTGAGCGGGTGGCATCAAAGAGGTGGCTTCAATGGGTCCACCAAGGGGTGACATCAAGTAGGGGCATCAAGGGGTGGCATCAATGGGTCCATCAAGGGGTGACATCAAGTAGGGGCCACCAAGCGACTCCATCAAGGGGCTGCCACCAAGGGGAGGCCCCTCTTGGCCCCGCCCCACACAAGCCCCGCCCCCTCACATGGCCCCGCCCCTCACTTGTTGGCCCCGCCCAGCTTCTTGCGGATCTCGTCCATCTCGTGGTTCTTGTCGTTGACCTCGGACTTCTTGGCCAGGTGCTGGTTCTTGAGGTCCTGCAGCTGCGCCATGGTCTCGTCGATGATCTTCATGTGCCGCTGCTCCTCCTGGGGACGCGGAGGGGACGTCAGCGCCGCCCGCGTCCCCACCGTGTCCCCGTGTCCCCCCGGGTCCCCCCCGTGTCCCCCGCGTCCCCGCGTCACCTTCTTGAGCTTCTCGATCTCGGCCTCGTCCTTGCGCACGCCCTGCTCCCACATGAGGACCTTCTCCTGCTCCTCGCGGAGCTGGTTGCGCTCGAAGTCCAGCTGGATGCCCAGGCGGGTCTTCTGGTTCTCGAACTCCAGCCTGGGGACACCGAGGGTCCCCAAGTGTCACCAAGTGTCACCAAGGGTCACCAAGATGTCACCATGCAGCCCCAAGTGTCCCCGCGTGTCCCCACTGGATGCCCAGGAGGGTCTTCTGGTTCTCGAACTCCAGCCTGGGGGCATCAATGTGCCACCAAGGGTCACCAAGGGTCACCAAGTGTCACCCAGTGTCCCCGCTGGATGCCCAGGAGGGTCTTCTGGTTCTCGAACTCCAGCCTGGGGGCATCAATGTGCCACCAAGGGTCACCAAGGGTCACCATGTGTCACCCAGTGTCCCCGCTGGATGCCCAGGAGGGTCTTCTGGTTCTCGAACTCCAGCCTGGAGTCATCAATGTGTCACCAATGTGTCCCCAAGGGTCACCAAGAGTCACCAAGGGCCACCAATGTGTCCCCAAGTGTCACCAAGGGTCACCAAGATGTCACCATGCAGCCCCAAGTGTCCCTCATGTGCCCCACGTGTCCCCATGTGTCACCCAGTGTCCCCGCTGGATGCCCAGGAGGGTCTTCTGGTTCTCGAACTCCAGCCTGGGGGCATCAATGTGTCACCAAGGGTCACCAAGGGTCACCAATGTGTCCCCAGGTGTCACTGATGCGTCACCATGCAGCCCCAAGTGTCCCTCATGTGCCCCACGTGTCCCCATGTGTCACCCAGTGTCCCCGCTGGATGCCCAAGTGGGTCTTCTGGTTCTCGAACTCCAGCCTGGGGTCACCGAGTGTCACCAAGTGTCACCAATGTGTCCCCAAGGGTCACCAAGGGTCCCCAAGGGTCACCAATGTGTCACCATGCAGCCCCAAGTGTCCTTGATTACCCCCGTGTGTCACCATGTGTCCCCGAGAGTCACCACACGTCCCCAAGTGTCACTGATGTGTCCCCAAGTGTCACGGTGTGTCCCCAAGTGTCACGGTGTGTCCCTGAGTGTCACGGACGTGTCCCCGAGTTTCACTGACATGTCCCCGAGCGTCACGGTGTGTCCCTGAGTGTCATGGACGTGTCCCTGAGTGTCACCACATGTCCCCAAGCGTCACCACATGTCCCCAAGTGTCACTGCCGTGTCCCCAAGTGTCACTGCGTGTCCCTGAGTGTCACGGACGTGCCCCTGAGTGCCACCGCGTGTCCCCAAGCGTCACTGCGTGTCCCCAAGTGTCACGGTGTGTCCCTGAGTGTCACAGACGTGTCCCCAAGTGCCACCATGTGTCCCCAAGTGTCACTGCCGTGTCCCCAAGCGTCACTGTGTGTCCTCAAGTGTCACGGTGTGTCCCTGAGTGTCACAGACGTGTCCCTGAGTGCTACCATGTGTCCCCAAGTGTCACTGACGTGTCCCCAAGCATCACAGTGTGTCCCTGAGTGTCACAGACGTGTCCCTGAGTGCCACCACATGTCCCCAAGTGTCACCGTGTGTCCCCAAGTGTCACCGCGTGTCCCCAAGTGCCACTGACGTGTCCCCCAAGTGTCATGGACATGTCCCAAAGTGTCACTGACGTGTCCCCAAGTGTCACTGCGTGTCCCTGAGTGTCACAGACGTGTCCCTGAGTGCCACCACGTGTCCCCAAGTGTCACTGCCGTGTCCCCAAGTGTCACGGTGTGTCCCTGAGTGCCACTGCTGTGTCCCCTGAGTGCCATGGACATGTCCCAAAGTGTCACTGACGTGTCCCCAAGTGTCACTGCGTGTCCCCGAGTGCCACGGACGTGTCCCCGAGTGCCACCACGTGTCCCCAAGTGCCACCACGTGTCCCCAAGTGCCACCGCGTGTCCCCGCGGTCGCGGCCGTCCCCCTACCGCTTCTTGGCGATCTCGTTCTGCCTCTTGACCTTCTCCTCCTCGAACTCGCGGATGTTCCGCACGCCGATTTCCCGGCAGAATTCCTCGAAAACCTCGTCCTCCACCTGCGCCGGGAGGGGCCGTCAGGACGTGGGGACACCGGGGGACACGGGGGACACGTGGGGACACGGGGGACACGTGGGGACGCGTAGGGAAACGTGGGGACACGCGAGGGCACGTGG